GAATGGAACTGAGTTTTGCTTCGCGCGCGCAGGGAGATAGATGTGATTGCATGTTTTTTTTTCTTCAGGCTGTGATTCTTGTTCACTTGCATTGAAATCATTCCCTCCTAGCGGAATGCCATCTTCGGACGATGTTTGCTTTCTCTCGGTAAAAAGTTGAATGAGTAGCTTCAATTTAGATACTGGTAGCTGGCCAGGTTTGGTATGTGGAGGCTTTGACACCGTTGGCGTAATGCAGCAGTTGTCTCATTCTGGTCGGTCTGGTTGTTGGTTAGCAGCAGAGGAATATAGCAGCCAGGGTGATTGTCATCAAACTGTGATTCTAGCATAGCCCATTCATTGTGGTGAGGGAGTTTGAATCGACTGGGTTATCTCTGCTTTTTGTCCCTCGTTCTGTTATATGTAAAGTCTTTTTTTCATATGATTGATCAAGCCTTCGAATGCACAGGTTTGACCAGAATATGCTTCTGATGTGGTCAGTTTACAAAAAGCAACTTTATCTGTTGAAATGTTATACGAGAGTGAAGCAGAGACACATTGTGTGAGTTTACACACTTTATAGCTGTTCAAACTGATGAGCGTACGGTTGTTGATCTACCTCCAGCTTCTAACTCCTGAGACAGTGGTGGCCCAAAAGCAAACACACACACATGTACACAGTACTGAGCTGCATTGTGTTTGTGAACGTGTGAGGACAAACATGTGTGTGTTCAGATGGTGAAGTATAGGCCTGCTCTCCTTCCTCCCCCTCTCCTGTCAGAGCAGGATGAAGAACCATGGGATGTTCAGGTGCTCTGATGAGGAGACATGTGTATGTTACACTCTGTTATTGGACTGCTATTCATGTTCAGGCTCCTCTGCTCTTTTTAGTTTACAGTGTTTTGGCCATTGATATTGAATATGGTTGCATTTTATTTTGCATTTTCTCAGGTTTGGGCAAGGCATACAAGTTTTATAGAAAGGTGGAAATCAATTACACCAAGCACTTTCAGCAATATGATTCTACCCTTTGTGAATTTTTTTTTCTGTTAGAATCCCTGGTGCTCGTTTATCATGTGTCCCAAATGGTCAATATATCGTATTTAGAATTGATGATTTTTAAACTTTGACGTTGAGAAAGAATACAAACTTGTGAAAGGATCGGGCATAGTGATCAGATTGGCTAATACAGCCTGCAGCCACTGTTTTTAAAGTGTTGTATCCCCATTTTCTAGAAATGTATCAGTAAGCTGGATTGACTTGTGCAGGGTGTAAGCTGTGAAGGAAACCAGTACTGTTCTTTCGTGTTGATCGTCGTGATTATGTAATTCCCATTACATTTGGTTATGTCCTCGCTACTTCCCCAAGCCATGTCATTTATTTGCCTTTCAGCTCATTCTGTTGATGTGATGGGTGTCAGCAGCATCACAATTCCAAATCCATTACCGCAAACCCCGATGCACTTACAACGGAAGCCCATTTGAGAGTCAGGGGCGTCACTCCCCACAGTGATAAGTGAGAACAGCGACCATGGGAAGTTTATCTATGTAGCGGGTTAGCCACCTTCATCCTGTGGCCTTCCAAGTCGATGCCTTATTATATAAGCGACGGACGTCACTAATTAAAAATTAACATGATAAACATCTCAACAGAACTTTCAGCTAACATTAATGGAAAACATGATACATTTTTCCATTGTCCTTCTTCTAACTTAATCCTTCAATCATTTATGTATTAATAGCAGCCACATAATTCCCCGTTCTGTTTCTCATTCCTCTGCCTTTACTTTCCTGTCACCTCCTTCTGCCTTATGATATTCGTCCCTCGCTCTTAGCAATCACTTGCTCACTCCCATCCTTATCCAATTTACTCTCTCTTGCTCTTTCACTGTAAGCTGGGTCAATCCTCCCGGTCTCTTCCTTTTTTCACTTCACTTCTCACTTGATCGTCTTCGCGGCTCTCCGTTTCTGATCGCTCATTTATAATTCATAGGACTGAATCCGCCGCTGGATCCCGGCTTCATTCGCCTCCCTATCACAAAATCTACTCCCCGTGCCTACCCATTGGTGCCCCCACTAAACCCAGTGCGCCCTCCCTCCACATTCTCTCTCATGTTCCTCCAGGTCCATCCATCCTTCATATTCGATCAGGTGGATGAGCTGATGTGTGATTTGGGTTTAGTTGCCACTGCTGCTCACTGCTAGTCTGCTGAAGTGACTTCTTTGTACCCATGTAAATAGTTGAAACAGTGCTGCTGAAGTGACTCTTGTACCCATGAAAATAGTGAAACAGTGCCTATGTGTTTGTTTGTGTGTGTGTGTGTGTGTGTGTGTGTGTGTGTGTGTGTGTGTGTGTGTGTGTGTGTGTGTGTGTGTGTGTTGCTTCTGACAGATGTATGCATGTTGTGTGCCCACATGAGCTTGTGTGTGTGTTTGCTTTCTCAGATGGTGCTCTTGGCAGTCCATCACGTCCTTCCTGTCTGGAGCCCGGCTATAAGAAGTGGGCCATGTTTCCAGGATGGAAGCTATACTGTAAATACTGGAATCTAGGGTGGGCCTGAACATCTGTACCCACCCATTCCCAGGCCTACCAACCCTAAAAACAGCAGCAACAACAACAACAAACCAGAAACCTACTTTAGATTAACATACCAATTGTGTCTTGCAACATCTAAAAATATTAAAGTTGCAAATATGTCTTCTAATCAATTATTTATATTGGTTTTTTCAAGTTAATTGTAAGACGATTAACCCAGAAGAGTAATAAGTGTGTTCCTCTCAATGTTTTCAGCCCTGGTCCAGGAGGGTAGAGGCCCAGTATCACCATCTAGCAGTACTTGAACATACATCACCAAAACTGCTTTCTTCCATATCAAAAACAATGCCCGCCTCCATCCGACCCTCCATCTCTTTTACCGCTGCAGAAACACTCAAAATCACCAATAAACTCCAATATGTCCACAACTCTGCCCCACTGCTCACTTCCAATCACTGGTATGCTGACAACACAGGTCTACATATCCACCACACCCAATGCTGCCCTACCCCCACCTCTCTCTCTCACCACCTGCCTCCAGGACATCAGGAGCTGGATGAGCCGTATCTTCCTTAAGCTCAACGGGAGCAAAACGGAGGCCCTGCTCGTTGGCTCCAAATCCACCCTCTCCAAAGCTCAACCCCCCTTCCCCAGACCTAATCATAGACGGTTTCCCTGTTCCATATTCTACCCAGGTCAAGAGCCTTGGTGTCATTCTGGACAGCTGCCTCTCATTTGCACCCCACACAAACACTTCACCCGGACTGCATTCTTTCATATACGAAACATCTCCAGACTCCGCCCTGTCTCAACCCAGCACTGAAGTCCTGGCTCATGCATTTGTCACATCCCGTATTGACTACTGTAACGCCATCCTCTCAGGCCTTCATCAAACTCCTCAATAAACTTCAAATCATTCAGAACTCTTCTGCCCGGATCATCACCCGCACCAAATCCTCTGACCACATCACCCCCATCCGTCTGCATTGGCTACCTGTAAAATACCGGATAGACTTCAAAGCCCTCCTGCTCACATTCAAAGCCCTCCACAACCTGGCCCACCTATCTGGCTGACCCCCTTCACCCCCTCTCGCTCCCTCCGCTCCTCCTCTGCTGGCCTGCTAGCTGTCCCGACCCCACGCCTAGTCACGATGGGGGCTCTGGCTTTTAGCTGCACTGCTCCCAAACTATGGAACTCTCTCCCCCTTTACATCCGACAGTCTGACACAATCACCGCATTCACGTCCCTCCTCAAAACCCACCTGTTCAGATCAGCCTACTCACTGTAGTGCTCCCTATCGTCTGTTTCCCATGAATAACCTGTCCCTATCATTTGTGTCCACTTTAATTATCTTCTCCATGATGATATGTTTGTGTTTGTGTTTGTTGCTTTTACCCTTTAGAATATTTAACAAATTCTACGGTGTCCTTGGGTGTCTTAAATACAATTTATTATTATTATTAGACCACATTACTCTAGGCCAGGGTCTGCAACCCGCGGCTCTGGCTCCCTTGAGCTTAGACAAAAATGAGAAGGAAATAAAATAAAAGTATTTGTAGGACTATTTAAATTGTATTGCATGGTTGAAAATGTATCTTGTATTTTGAGTTGATACTGTGACACATAAATAAAATAAAAACAGTTTTAATTAGGTCAACTAAAATATGCAGGTATGTGTTTTATTTATTTCAAAGTGGGCCCATTTTTATTTTATTTATTTTATTCAAATGTGCAGAGGACTCCCCAAGTGCTGTGTTTAATTTATTTTAAAGTAGGCCTGTGTATTTTTTTTATTATCCTTATAAGAGTTATTTGTTTATTATTAGAGGTAAACAGTTTTCTATAATGTAATAAATAATAAATGCAAAAGAACGGTAGTTGTTTGTCTATGATATAACAATATATACAACTTTATTAGCTATCAAGAAATCAAATATGTTTTGCGGCTCCAGATAAAAACAATTGGTGGAAAAGGGGGAAGAATTGCTCTTTTGGTCAAAAAGGTTGCAGACTGTTCTCGGCCCTCACTCCCTCCATTGGCTCTCAGTTAAATACAGTATAGCTTGGTTTCACTTGACGTCACACCGCTGCGTTCCTTTGGCGCAAAATTCCATTGGAGGTCAGGAAGTAATTTTCTACAGAGGATCTAGCTGCTGTTACCATTGTGAAAATGCCGGTGTGTTGTGTAGTTTACGGTTGTTCCAATCGATCCGGCCGAGAGAAAAACAAGAGGTTTTACCGAGTGCCGAAGATTGTCGTCCATAAAGCTGAGCAATTTAAGAAGCTAACCGAAGAACGCCAGAAAAAATGGCTTTCAAACCTACATCTGCGGTCGGGAGGAGCAGAGTCGTCTAATGCACGTGTCTGCAGCGACCACTTCATCAGAGGTATTAGCTAACTTGGTTTTTGTGGCTTTGTTTATGTATTATTGGGTTGTGGTTAAATGCTTATTTACTTAGTAATACTGATCATGTTTAAGTTACCTGTAGTCTAATATGGACTTTGTTGGGACTTTTTAGGGTGCCCTAGCGCTTTGGGTGACGTTGAGTCGGTAGACTGGGCTCCCACTGTTAGCCTCGGTTACCACACAACAAGTAAGCTCAGATCAGAGGCATCTCTTCGACGAGAGCAGAGGATGGAGCTCAAGGAAGACCAACAAAGACAATCAGAATGTGCAGAGGCTTTGTTGGATCTCCTGCAGACAACCGAGAGCCCAGAACCGACGCAACCCCCGTCTGACAGCCCACAACCAGAGGACACCAGTGGGATATTAAATGACCAACAAGGTAAATTAACCACCAGCATTATTATTAAATATTACAAATGTGATTGTCAGAAAATCAATGCAAACTTTGAATTAGGTTTAGAAAATAGAGTACTAACTTGAGAATCTGCAATAATTGGAACAGAGAACTTGCATGTCTGTAAAAAGGTTGTCAAAAAGATAACATCACAAC